ACATGTGGTTTAGGCATGCATAATAAAAAAGTAAAAGTCTATAAGATGCTCAATAGATATGTGTATAAATTAGATTGTTTTTTTATAGTGGCTTGATGTTTTAATCTTCTATTTTATATTCTTCTCATAAAGGATGATCAGAAGTAAGGATAAAGTTGAATCAGGTCATACAAAGGATCCAGCATGGAAACATAGCACTCAGGTGTAGGGCTGCAAACGAACCGAGCCGAGCTGAGTATGTGAGTGTTCATGTTTGTGTTCATTTAATATCAGCTTGTTCAAGTTTGGTTCATGTTTGTTCGAGCTTTAGCATTTGTGTTCATGTTTGGTTCATTTAAATTAAGGAGTGTTCATGTTCGGTTCATGTTCAGTTCATGTTCGTTCGTTTAGTGTTTATCGAGCTTGTTCGCGAACATATTTAACTAATTTTTTTAACTATCAAATAAACATGCTCATGAACATATCTATAAACAAACACATTTATAATAAAAGCAATTGTCTATGTAACAATGGTAATGATTATTTATATTTATTAATTCTGTAGTCAAATAATAATTATTTTTATCGAGCTTATTCAGTAGTTCAAAATCGAACATGAATTGAGCTTTTATCGAGCTTTTATCGAGCTTAATGTCGAGCTTGTTCACGAACTTCAAATGATGTTGTTCGCGAACATAAATGAGCCGAACGCATTAGTGTTCAAGTTTGTTTATTTAAGAATTGAGTATTTAAAATATTGTTCAAGTTTGTTTGTTTAGTTAATTAAACGATTGCAAACGAGCTTTAATCGAACCGAACAACGAGTAGCTCATCGAACGTTTGGTTCGCTTGCAACCCTACTCAGGTGGATGTAAGAGACAATAACATATGTATATCTAAAATGCAATTACTATGACAAAGTTGTGAAGGGTAACATGACTAGGATGAAGGATCATCTTTCAGGGTCTCACAAAAATGTTGCACTATGCTCTAAAATTTCTGATAATATAAGGGATGAGAAAAAGACATACATGAATAAGTTTACCATGTTAAAACATCTTGTACAGAAGCAATTTGAGGACAGAGTTGATGTTGACTCCTACCACGGGAGTGAGCGTAGCGTTAGGGATTCATCTTCTTCGATGAATCTCATTTCATCTAGGGGTACTAGAGGTCCCATTGATCATTATAAGGTGCAAACATCAGAGGATATGCCTCCTACTACACAGAAGATGGCACCAAAGAATGTAAGGGAGGCACGAAAAAGATTGTAAGGATATAGGCAGATTCTTCTATGAAAATACAATTCCATTTAATGTTGCAACATTACCTTCCTATTTATAACTTGATTCGTTCAGTTGGAGCATTTGGGAGAGGGTTCAAACCTCCAACCATATCTGATTTGAGAACACGAATTCTGAAGGAGTTGGATAGCACTGATAAAAACATTGAAGAAATTAAAAGAACTTAGGCTCAAACAGGTGTAACAATTATGGAATATGGATGGTCTGATATAAAACATAAAAGTTTGATCAACATTCCCATTAATAATCCTTATGATATTGTATTTTTAAGGTTAGTTAAAGCATCTGACCAGGTCAAAAATATTGAGTTCATATTTAGATTATTAGATAGCATTATTGAGGAGATTGGAGAATAGTTGGATGTATAAGTGGTTAAAGATAATGCAAGCTCTTACAAGGCTGCGGGGAAAAAACTTATGGAGAAGAGAAAACATCTATACTGGACTCCATATGCTGCACATTACATAGATCTGATTCTTAAGAAACTTGGGGAGTTGCCTCAACATAAGAATGCACTTACTAAAGAAAAAAAATAACTAAGTTTATTTACAACCACTCTTGAGTTTTGGCTCTTATGAGAAAATTTTTAAAGAAAAAAATTCTGAGGCCAGCAACAACAAGATTTGTCACCGCTTACTTGACATTAGAGAGTATGATAGATGCTAAACAACCTTTAAAGTCTATGTTCACCATCACATAGTGAGTTGTGCTTGGGCAAAGAAAGCTGAGGAAAATGAGGTTTAAAAGATTGTTTTAAATGATAGATTTTAACAAAGTATCTTGTATGTCATTACAACTACTAGATCTTTGATTCAAATTTGAAGGATGGTGGATATAGAGAAGAAGCCTGCAATGGGTTTCAACTACAATGCTATGGATGAAGCTAAAGAGATGATTACTATAACTTAAGAGGCGAAGAGAGAAGCTTTAGGGAAATTTGAAATATTATTGATGATTAGTGGGAACAACAGCTTCACCGACACTTGCATGCAGCAGGCTACTACTTAAACCCTCAGTATCAATCTATAGAGAACAAGTCTAGAAACCCTGAACTGAGCCATATTGAAAAGGATGGAGACCTCATAGTATTAAAAGGAATCAGATTTTCATTAAAAAAAATCTTCCAACATCTATACAAACTTGATTACAATATTTGTTAGAGGACATCGACGAAACACATTGAATTCAATCTTCAAATCAAGATTTAAATATTTAATTAATCAATCCATAGGGCCTCAAATTCGTTTAGTGAGAGTGTGAGACTAGAGGTATCCATCAGTACCACTAGTAAGACCAAAACTAGAAGATCCATTCTTTTTCATTTCATGCATGTTCTATTAGCGTTGACGCCTTACCATTGTAAAGGCATTCATATAGTTCAATATCTCTCATTTAACTTCATCTTAAACTTTTCACATGGCCCCATATTCTTATAATTTTAAGCAAGATGATCATTTAGTCATTTAACACCTCCTATGATAATTTTATAACAAAGATTGCATTTTATATACATCTAGACTTTTTTCGCCTTCTCTTTTAATTTATCTTGAGTCTCATATTTCCAAGTTATATATTTTCCCTTAAGAACAACTTTCATCATTATTGTAGAAATGCTACAGCTATAATGAAGCCTTTAAAAAAAAAAGACAATCTAATTCTAGTTATTCATAGTCTTAAAAAAAATAGAGTAGATGAAGTGTAAAAATAAAATTAATTCTATGAACTATGAAGAAGGAAATTTTAAAAGAAAAAAAGAGTTAACTCTAAAAAGGAGAAGGCAAATGAAATATATATATATAGAAAAAAAGTGGAAGGAATAAAAAGAGTAATGAACTAACTTAATGAAGCTTGAACTTATGGCTGGTTTCTGAAGTGTAGCTAGCAGCAAAAGCCCTCATAAAAAAGAAGAGAATAGGTTTTTAGGTTTTATTTTGATTTTCATTAATTTTTTAAGATAAAATATAATTGTTTTAAAGCCTAAAACTCATAGCCTAAAGGTTTCTATTAAATGCCCAATTAAACTAATTAAACTAATTGAAAAAGATCATAACAAAGTCAAATAGACTCTCTAAACATAAGATCAAGGAAAGATGTAGGTTTTAAATCTTTTTCTTAACGCCTCAAAATAAAATGAGTTTAGGGGGCATAGGTCTTAAAAGATTTTCTAAACCTTAAACAATATGAAATCACTAATATGAATTTGTAACATATAATGCATGTAGAAAAAGAAAAAAAAAATAAATCCTTAAGTGTTTACTTTCCATGCAATATAAAATCAAAAACATTAGTGATAAATAGGATGTTGCCCTTCTGGCATGCATTGTTTTATAATTACTATTCAAAAATAACAAGAAAAGTAAATAACAAAATTAAAATATTATTTAAGAAAATATTAAGTATTAAACTTCAATAATAATAGCTTATGCAAATATGTTATAAAAATGGTTATGGACCTAAAATTGCAATCTAACATGCATAATTATAGTAATGATGTGGAGCATCTCAGATATCATCATTATCAAGTCAAGTTTACTTTGTACCCAGGACCTTTCTATATATGCTTTTCTTTTGATTGAATCCAAAGTACTTGCACTTATGTTTTGGGTCACAAGTCATTTCTATATTTTGAGAACCCTATGTGGTCAATCCTAGTCGTTTCATTGAGTCGCAACATGAATCATTGAGATATATTGAGTCATGCATGCATTTGAACTTGGCTAACCCTCTTATTTAACCTTATTTTGATCACAATCGATCCCCACCATATTACTTAATTGTCATGTCACCACGTGGTGGTCACCTATCATTTACTACTATATCACTATGACTCTTTTTCTCTCTTTCTAGCTCTACCAAGGTGACCTTATAATGCCTTAAAACTACATTAATTTATTATTTTCATTGAAAAAGCCCAAAAACCTTAGAAACTCACCCAAACCCATCAAAATCCACACACTGCCCCTTCCTAAGCTTGGTTGGCCCTTTCTACCTGTACTAGACTTTTGGGCTATCTCATGTATAAGTCTATAAATAGTGGTCATCTCATCATGTAATTACTGTTATATTGAATAAAAACTTGAGTTTCTTGCCTCTTCGTGTATATTCACTTGGGTTCTTTCCCACTCAAGTAGAGTGCCTAATAAGTGAATGAGTGCATGATCTTTGAAGAAGAATTTTCGATGGATGAAATTTAACGAAGGACCGTTAATAGAAAAACTTCAAGTTATCCCCCCTTCCATTATCAGCTTTGCTAACTCCATCACTATTAGATCCTTCTCTAGCTTGCCATTGTTTTTCTTACCATTTTAGGGCTAGGAAACTTGTATTGGTTGATATAGTTCTCACTTGCATCATAATTTTAATTGTTGGATTCTTTAGGTTATCACTCAATCCATTACTCTCTAATACTTAAAGTAAGGGTTTTTGGTAAAGAAATATTCTCATGAACATACATCTCCCTATCACAATGCATTCTAGTTTACTTTTGCATAGCATTATAATTTCGCATTCATGCTACATCAGGTAATAACCATGCACTATGTTAAATTTGAACAAGAAATTATGTGTACAATCATCACACATTTTATACACACGAACTAGTTAGTCAAAACAACTACTGATGCAAAGACTTATGAAGAAGCTTTTATATTGAATGAAAAGATAAAGGACAATAAACATCTCATAAATCAAAGTATTTTTTTCTCAACCAATTAGCACCTGGATTTTATGGTCCTTGTTGCGTAATCGAGGAGACTCTCTCCACCAAAGAAATCAGCATGCAGATGGAACTCTACATTTCGTAGTAGTAAGCAACAATCTTTTATCAACTTTTGTTTTGCATGCTTATCGAAGTTTGATGCAATCTTCGATAGAAGTATCTCCATTCTGAACAAGATTTGAAGTTCATGCCTAATGCAAGTTAAGAAGCATATAGATTTTAAATTTTGTACTGAAAATGCGGCAACTTAAAGTAGCTGATTATGAAATTCATAAAAACATGTACATCAAGGATACATCCTAATTTTCTCTTCATTGCTGCAAATAACAGAAGCTATTTCTACTGTAGAAGATGCAGAAGTGGAGCTTTTGCACTTGAGTTCAAGATCTTTAGGTTTCACCAAAAGAAGATCAGATATTTCAGTGGCTATTTTGGTGTCAAACAAGTCTTGCTCTTTCCTCCTATTACGATCCTCCGCCAGATCCCTTCCATATTTAATATAAAGTGCATCAATTGACATAAGTACAAGACGCTCTGCCAAAATAAACAAGTCAACTTCCTTTGAGCACAAAGCATGTTCAATTTTCTGAGAAATACTTCCCAGGAAAGCATTCGAGTCTTCACTGCAAATGAAGGATGACGCCAATTGACCTGGTGGTTGGTTCAAACAATTGTCACCAGCAGAAGAAACAGGTTCAGAATTTTGTTGCGAGCTTGGATTTTCCTCTTTAACTCCTTTCACACTTAAGGAGCTATCTACTCCGTTTCGTTCGCTATCAGAAGAAATGTTTAATTTAATAATCTGTTTCATCCAGCATTTCAAAAACCGTAACTTTTTAGATCTGGCGACTGGCAAATTAAAGTATAACTCTTCAAGGACAATTGCCGAAGTGAAGCCATCAGACTGGCTAAACACTCTATCTGTGAAAGTGCCCCATGAGACATCATGGGGCAGATTCACCTGTGTTTTTTTTCCCTTTCTTCTATCATCATTAACTCTATCTTTGGCGGACAAGGAAACATCAAGATTTGAGGGAAATATGTTAAGTAAGGCATAATTCAAAGTGAAAGGCTGCAATATGCCATTAAATGAGTTCCCTTCACCGTCCAGAACAGAAACTACAGCTGAGCAGTTTCTATTATAGAGAAAAGTTAGAATAAGCTGCCAAATAGGTTTCCTTGCATCCAGTTCACCCTGCTCATCACAAAGCAATTTAAGAACCTTATCTGCAATGAATTCCTCTTTAGCATTACCAGTAGCTTCTATCCCAGATGCTCTTGAAATTCCGTGCAGAAGTATTAAAGCACAAGGGTTTTCTGTGGACTTCGTTGCCTCATTTACTTCACATACCTCTCTAATGAAAATCCTTATACTGCCTCTCCCACATGTTTCCAAAGAAAGCCATAGCATTTCGGATTCTTCAAACACTTTTAAAACAACCAATTCAAGATCACAACTTTTACACTCTAGAGTTGCCCCACTGGAGTCTGTGATGCCCAGAATCAATTCAGCGCGATTCTTCATATAACTGCTCAACGACTTTAAACCCATATTACAGCCTATGTGTGGGAATATCAAGCCAAATGGTACAAGCGCAGATCCCAAAACAATCGCATCAGTCCTGTAGCATCCCCAACCCAATTCCTTCACGCCGCTTTCGAATAGACCTAATCCTAACCTTTCTACCTCGCCTAATCGTTCGAAACTAACATCAACCCAGCTGACATGGATATCTCTGGACTCGAGCCGTTCCTTGACAAGGCCAAAAATTTGTAAGAATTTCCTCAGGAACCGATCAGAATCTAACAACGCCCCCTCACTCAAATATTCAGACAAGCAGCTGGGTGATTGAGGGATCGGAGAAAAAAGCACCACTAAATTGGAACGAATCATTATGGAATGCAGCATACCTCTATGGCGTTGAATTTGAGGCTCCCATGCATAGTCGTACTCTAGTTGGAGCAGCGATCCAGCAACAAGAGACGCGCGAGAACAAGCAGGTCGGTCATAATCGAGTGGATCTTGAATTGAGAATACGGAATTAAAGATGCTTATAAGGTGATCTAGTGTTTGTAGGGGACTATCGAAGGAGAGGAAGGCGGGAGATTTACCTAGGAGGCGGCGAAGCTTAGAGGTGGAGAGGATGGGAGAGAGGGAGGAAAAGAAGAACTTGAAAGCCGCGAGAGATGAGGATATAGCCGGGAAGGAGAGTATCCGTTGTGCGGCGGCGAGGACGTTGGAAACGTAAGGTTTAGTGTTTTCCAAGACGAGGAGAGGATGCAGATCTATAAGAAGTACGATTCGCTGGATCCGTGAGGGGTTGAGGGCATCCATTGTTCTGTAGAGAAGCAGTTGAATTTGTGGAAATTTTGAGAAGAAGAAGAAGAAGAAGAAGAAAGGGTACCGGAGCTTATGGGTTGAGCATGGCCGGATTTCTGCATTGTGTATTCCCGCTTGTCTTTTGCTTGTGAATTTTTGGCGGGAACCTGATTTGGCTTGTGGAATTTGCGGTGTGAATTTAAAAAGCAATAAAGCCTTTGCTCGGATCTACTTCAATTTGGATTCCTAATTGAAAAAAATTTTGAATTGAGTTAAGGTTTCATTTGCGACAGCATTCTTACTATTTTTCAAAACATCTTCTAGTAAAAAATTTATATATTTTTTCTATGTGCATGATATATGCAAATTTATAAAGAACAAATGATTTTCTATTCATCCATAGTCTAAAAATATTTATATGTGCATATAAATAGAAAATAAGTATAATAATATTATATTTTATGTATGATACTAAGTGTTCACTCATTTTAAAATTTGTGATTGTTGAGAACTGGAACATTCGAGACGGTAGAGAGATAAAGAACTTAATTTCTTCGTTTTGAACAAAGATCCAACATACAAACAAATAAAGAGAGGGGCACAAGTCATAAAAGGCACCAAGATTTTTAAATGAAAAATCTTGAAAGGGGGTAATCATGGGGTTTGACACATTTAAAATGATTTCACTAGTATTTATTGTGGATTACCAATGAGGCTCTTCCCTTAGGGGAAGGCATTGGCTTGATGTAGCAAAATACATCATATATAGCACATTACATGGTGGAAGTTGGAAGAATATCATGATATGAGAGTTGTTATCAAGAGAGTGTGGTCTTGTTCATTCAGCTAGTAGAACCGTAATCGACAGGCAACAGTGGTCCGAGGGATAGTAGTCAATGGGTGATGGTGGTTGGATAGACTGTAGTTGGTGGGCGATGTTGGTTCGAGGGTCTATAGTCAACGGGGGAAGGAGATATGAGGGACCATAGTCGGTATGTGACGATGGTTAAAGGGATTGTAGTTGGCAGGGGGATGAGGTCAAAGGGACCATAGTCGGTGGGTGACGGTGGTTAAATGGACCATTATCAGTGGGGAACTGAAGTTGAAGGGACCATAGTCCGTAGGCAACGGTGGTTGACGACTGGCTGGTAGGCTGGCGACAGTCGATCTGAAGTTTGGTGACAGTCGTAGTCAAGCAGAAGTCTGATGATGGTCGACAGTAGTTCGACGGTGACAGATGATGGGCAGTAGTTTTACGGCGATCGCCGTGCGAGATAGTGATCTGACAATGGTTGGGCAAAAGTTTGGTAGTGATTGACGGTGGTGCCTAAGTGGAGCTTTAGATCCTTAAAGCCTCATATCTCTCTCCAATATCCAGCCAAAGATTCAAGCTTCAAGCCCTCATTCATGTGGGAAGTGAGGGTATATTCATAAATAGTTGAGAGCATCATGCTCCCTAAATATGTATAAGATCCAGGATAAAATTGGAGTGGTCAATTAAACGGCTCATATCGATTCCCTCGATCATAAAGCGTTCATCAAGCATTTAAGTGTCATAATGATTTTGAAATCAAACGTTCTTGGTCTCGTTCGATTCGTCTCATCAAGCCACTCGATTCGACTGTAAGCATACTTCATTTTGATACTATTCGATCATACAAAATTATGCGTTGAACCTTCCAAATGTGCTTCGATCCCTTTATTTGGACCCATTTGGGCTCGGATTGGACCAATTTTGGCATTGTTGGGTAGTCATTTTGAGACATTCAATTTGACTTTAAGTTTACTGAAATTAGAGTTTGGATGGTTCCAAATTTAATTTGGAAGTTTCCAACTTGAATGTACCTCAAGATTCATCCTCGATCAAGATAATTTTTTGTGATATATCAATGATCATTAAATGCAGGGTCTAATTATTTGTGATAACTATTGAAAAGCCTAATGACTTGGAAAGCTATGACAATTGATGATCATATGAGACTAGTGCATGATCATGACTAAAATTTAACAAAGAAGCAAGAACATTCGAAGAAAGTTCTTTAAATGAACACTTCCTTAACAATAGCAAAGAATATCTTGAAAATTAATATGAAGGGTGAAGTGGTTGTTATCGAAGTAGATAAGAGAGGAATCTAATATATGGTAAATCAATGTATAATGCTACAATTTCAAAAAAATATGAGTATAAAAGTTATTTGATTGGACTACAAATTCTATAGAGGAATAAGAATGATATTTTGATCTCTCATTAGCATGCAAAGAAATTTTTGATGAGCAATCGCTATAATATTTATACGGCAAAGCAAGCTATTACATGTATGCCTACAACAAAATATTGTAAGAGCTTGATGACTTCACAAATAGACAATTCTCTTTTTTGCTAATTAGTCCAATATGGGAGTGAAGGGTACATGTAAAATTCTTATCGAGTTAAAAAATAAAAAATCACTGACTTACTTTTAATGTATGTTATACCAAGCTTGACAAATAACGATTTAAGTTACAATTTATTTATAATATTATTTTTTTAAAGTATTTGGCAATATCAATGTAATAATTTTTTTTCTCCCCCTTATTTGATCACTTTTTATGGAGAAATTATTTTGTGCGGACACCGAACCAACTGTAGGCGAATCAAAGCGCTACGCCACCAGGTATACAAAGGGTTCACAATTGTTATACATAAAAAAGAGGTAATGTGTGCATCTTGATTCGCCTCCAGACAGCATCCAGTGTCCGTACAAAATTTTTCGTTTTTATGAGTGAATGTTATAGAAGAGTTGCATTTCTCTTTACTTGTTGACTTAGTTATAAGCAAATAAATATACACATTAAATAAAAAATCAAATAAAAGCTACATCAAACTATTATAACATTTTAGATTACTCAAAAATTACATTCCATTTAACAGCTACAAACACATATCTATCATTTGGATAACAGTAGGGCCGAAAATTCACATGACACAGTTTGGCGAACGTTTGATCAAAACGGTAATATATACAAATAAAGAAAACTAAAATTAGTTAATGTTTCACAACAATGTATAGGCCATAAGTCTTTGTAAGAGAACAGAAGACTGATCAGATTCCCGAAAGGGCCGAATCTAACGAGCTTTATTTTGACGTAAAAGAGAGTTTGCGCTTAAGACGAGCTGTTGAGGAAATACGCAATAGCCTTATCAGTGTCATTATCGTACATCGCAAGAGCTTCTGTTACATTCTTAGAAGCAAAGCCCATCTCTCGGAGAAGATTGTAGCCTCTAACGAATTCTCTAACCTGGAATGGGAGGAAAAGTATCATTACTATAACAACAACATAGAGTTTTTATCCCGCTACGTGGGGTCAGCAACATGAATCATTTTTCTCCGTTGTGTTCTATTAAGGGTCAAATTCTCATTTAAATCTAATATAAAAAAAATGTAATTTCTAATATTTTCTAACTAGGTCTACCTCTATCTTTCTTAACAAGGTCAAATCTAATACATCTACTTTTTGATAGTAAATACTTGAGTTTGCAAGTAACTCTAGTGGGAAATGCTCGAGTTTGCAAGCAACCCTAACCAGAATTGATGAAAATAGCGACAAAACTTCAAGATCTCCAATGAAACAGTCCAAAAACAATAGATTATATTATAGGAAAAAAATCAAAGGCAAGAACAAGCAAAGATACAATTGATCCTTAATTCGAAAGGAAGATCGTTTTCTCCCAATCTCTAGACGATGAAAATAGAGCCTAAAGCCACCAAGAGAACTCCAAGAGAAAACAATAATCATGCATGCCCTAAGACTAACCTCTCCTCATCTTTAAATACACGATGACAAACAGCGATTATGTGTCGGAACTGGCCAAAGAAAACGCCGGCTAATACGTTTGTTGAAGAAGATGATCGGTATTGGCAAGCTATGCGATTCAAACCGATAGAGGGAGAAGGAAAGTCTGTGTCGCTGGAGAAGACGATCGGGATGGAAGACGAACTGTGCGATTCCCGCGCTCTTTAGCGTTTTAGCGATTTGGAGTTGACGGCGAAGAGACGGAGTGTTATTTTTGATGAGATAACTATTTTCAGGTGGTATATAGGTAAATAGAAAAGTTTAGGTGTTTAATAGGTAAATAGAGTTGTTTTAAGTGTTATGTATGTAAAAATCCCTTAATAAAAATCATATAATTGGTGGTTATACTTTTAATAATCATAAATATCAAAAAAATCATTTATATAATAAATTTACCTGGCATGAAACCAAATTTACTCTTCGAAGGTTACATAGTTTCTCTCTGTCTATGCTTCAATTTTTATAACATAATAGATTTTACATAACTTTGATTCCTTTATAATTAGCAAACTCTCTAACCCCTCCGTTCTTAATATTGGTACCAAATTACCCCAATCATTTAGCATCTTCTTAATCATCAAAATTTCATGAAAAACTTTACTGAATAACTATAGTATCCCCTATAACTCTCCAAATCTTAAAAGAGCATCTTGTATAGACCTAAAACTTTACATTCATGCATCTTTTTAAAGCCAACTCCACCCCACTTTTTGATCAATTGAGGAATGCATCGAGCTTTTTGTGCGATAGAAAAGTACCGCTAAAACTTAAGGAAAATTTCTATAAGATGGTGGTGAGACCTCCAATGCTTTATGATGCAAAATGTTGGCCATTAAAAGAGAAACATAAAATTAAGTGTTGTAGAGAGGATGCTTAGGTGAATGAGAGGCGTCACTCTTAGAGACGGAATGTGAAATAAATATATACGTGAAAAGTTTGGAGTAGCTCTAGTGCCAAATAAGATTAGAGAGAGTCGCCTTAGATTGTTTGGCCATATAAAATGTCAGCCTTTCGAAGACTTAGTTAGGAAAGTAGATGTATTAGATTTGACCTATGTTAAGAAAGATAATGGTAGACCTAAAAAGACTTGGTTAGAGAATATTAAATATGATATTTTTTAGTAGATGTAAATGAGAATTTAACTCTTGACATGACACAATTAAGAAAAAATATTCATGTAGCCGACCCTATGTAGTGGGATAAAAGCTTGTAGTTGTTGCTATTTCAAAACATTTTTTTCCATATAATAATATCTCAAAGTAAGAAGTTCCTCTTGCTTTAACTTTTTTATCTTTAACCAAAAACCAACTATTCTCACTTCTAGCAATCTAGTGCATCTAATGACATGTAAGTCTAAATGCTTATTCTAATATCTTAAATAAAATTTGAATCTCCTTTTTCTTTCTTACTACAAAGCTATTAGATAAATGATAAAAAATTATAGTATTTTGCACATTACCCTCTGGCTAGACTTCTATTTTTTTTATATGATCAATGTCTCAATAGCATTCAACTTTTACTAGTTAAAAGCACATTTTTACATTATGCCTGAATAAAGATTTTAACCTCCTCACTACACCAAATCTACGCATTAATATACTATATCTTTCTGCACTCTCCTAAAACTTTTACAATAATCTTCACAATGGAATTAGCAATTTATCCCACATTATGTAAAGCTCAACAAATAAATTATAATTTCCCTCGCGTTATTGAAATATTGACAAGTTATTATCTTTCAAATTCTATTACCTTATAAATTATAGTTTCACGCATTAACATCCCAAGCATCGCAAGTAAATCATCTATGCGTCAACTCATTTCTTGCAGTATCAATTATATTGTCTATTTTTACTCCACCAAGCCCATTTTTTCAAACTATCAATCACATGCATCTATTTCTTTATCAACATCTGAGCATCTGGTTTTCCTCCATGTACTCTCTAACTTCCTCCAAACTCTATTCCCTGCATCTTAAGCTTGCAATTTCATCTTCTCCCACCAAATATCTACTCGCCATGGCTTGCACCACAGTTCCAATTTCCCCCATAAGAAGTTTAATTATTTTCTTCCAAATGGCTTAATCTTGTAAAAGCTTATGGTAGTTGTTATTCTACTGTTTGTGATTTCTTCTTTCCCTTGGAGATAATTATCTGAAAGCTCACTTAATTAAATCTTAAATATCATTTTATAAGCAGAAAGAAGTTAAGTTGAATCTGATTTGTTAGACAAACGTTAGTACTATCATTTTTGATATATTTTCATAAATATTTTTTTCTTCATTTTTTTTTTATTTTTTTTTAATTTTTTTTAATTTCTTCATTAGTACTGTTAATCATCATTTAGCTTATCAGAGGTTTAATAAATATCGCATAAAGAAAAATATCAAGTACTTTCCTCGGGTTAACTTTTCCATCTAATAACCATTAAAACACAGCATACTTGCATCGTTAACTTAGAAAAAAATTCACTTCCAAACCTACACTGCTTGCAGCTCTCTCCCTAAGTAGTGAATCTATAAAAAATAACAACTCACAGGACTCTAACAAATTGGACTAAACCTCCAGGGAGATAAATGATATATACTCTCATTAGAACCTAGTTGCTGATATACTTTAATTACAAACAACCCTAGCAGATATTATCAGGAAATTAGGTTTCCCTGTGTTTTCTATAATATTTAGTCAAATGTGATGCTGCACTTAGGTTAAAAACCATAGTTCTGTTATCAAAATTTGCATAAATTTTAAGACAAAATTGGGCATTTTGCCTATATCAGATTTCTGTTGTAAACTAAACTTTTTTTAATAATTTTTTAGAAGTTCATTTGAGAGAAGATGTAAAGACATAATAGGTAAAGTGATAAATAACATCCGTTGATGAAGATGCTGGCAATTATGATGATGATGCATTGTGAAAATTAAATGGAGAAACTGAATTGAATGTCTGTGCTTAGTTATTCTCGAGCATCATTCACATGAAGGATTACTTAACAGTGCAGTTACTGAAAAATCAAGGACCTCCATCCGTTGGTAGCATCATTGTTGTTTTAAATATTATCTATCTTAAAACAAGTTATCTAAATTGCATTATTTGCTTGAAATACTATATTTGCAAAATAGTTCCCGAAAATGTAACTGCCATTTACGCACTCAATGGACCTTTTGAGACTTTTCAACCTATCACTATCTTCTCAATTAGCTGAAATAATAGCTGATCATTTTTATAACCACAAACCATTTCTACCGATTGAAATACAATGCCAGGACTACTACAAAAAGTTCAGCAGTAATAATATCCAACATCTGCCGTTTAATTTGCTCCACGTATTGCATAAATCCTAGAGAGGAAAATGCATTCTCTTATAAAATTGAAATACAACTTTTGAAAAGCCGTGATAATTGGCATGTGATAGGTCCAACCAGCCCCCGCATGGGCCGGCCATGGTATACCAGAGGCAGTTCAAAACGCCTCTCCCAAGACTTGCTGCCTAAGCTGGTAGGGCCCACAGCCTTATTTTAGGCTTGCCGACCAAGGTGGGGTCCACTAGGGAATTTAAATTCTAAATTAAATACATATATGGAAGGTGGGGAATTTAAATTCTAAATTAAATACATGTATGGAAGGTGAGAGCGGCGGTTAGGGGCAAGGAAGGCTTATAAATAGAGATGAGGGGGCAAGGGTTAAGGCATGCTTAGATTGGTGATCTCTTGGAGTCTCTTGGAGTTTTGGGCTCTAGACTTAGTGTCTAGAGATTGCGAGAGAACGATCCTCCTCTCAAATAGAGAATCAATTATATATTTTCTGATGTTTGCTTTGCTTTGAGTTATTCAATAAAAGCCTACTATTTTTGTGTTGTTTCATTATCTTTCTTATGTATTTTCCCTGATTTTACCAATTTTTGGTTAGGGTTGCTTGCGTTCTCTAGTAAATCCGATAGGATTACTTGCAAACTCAAGTATTTCCTATCAGCATGACCCATGGAGAGATTCGTGAATCTTATAATTATGATAAGAGCAAGTTACTATTCCAACATTCATGATCAGATTGAAGGGAAGAAAAAGCTACCATGGTAGTTGATAAATCAACATTATGATCACTGATCTTTTTATTTCACATGCAATCCGATACCAGAAACAAATGGAATTTGGAATCAAAGCAATGAGTTGAATATAAAGCTACATAAATTAATAGTTTATGGTTTAAACTACAGTATTCATGTAGGAGTCATACTAAAAATAGTGTGTGTGTGTGTGTGATTATAGGTAAGAGTTTGAAAGATAATATTGTAGAAATTAATAGAATTGAAGATAAAATCATAGCTTTAAAAATTATTTTTGATACTAAGATTATTAATATTATAAGTGTTTATGCTCCTTAAATAGGTTTGGATATACGTTCAAAATTAAAATTTTGGAATGATTTAGAAGAATAAATATAAAAGATATCACTTGAAAAAATAATTTTTATTGAAAGAGATTTAAATGGATATGTTGGTAGAGAGGTAGAAAATTTTAAAATTATTCATGGTGATATGGGTTTAGAGTGACAAATGAAAGGGGTAGGACCATATTAGATTTTTTTTTAGTTTATGATTTTATAATTGCCAAGACCTTACTTAAGAAAAGAGAGCATGTCATCCCTTATAAGAATGGATATTAAAAAACTCAAATTGATTATTTTATTATAAGAAAAATATATCGTTTAGATTAAAAAGAATGTAAAGTTATTAAAGTTTATGTACCCAGCATCACTTATTAGTTTTGAACATTAAGATGAATGGAAGAAATATGAATAATAAAGTAAAATATTATCCTAGGATTAGAATTTAGATGAACACTAACAAAATTATTTTTAAAAATAAGATTCAAGAACTTAAGATTTTGACTCTACACGAGAAAACTAATGTTATGTGAGAAAAAATAACTAATAATATTAAGAATATTGCAAAGGATGTGTTTGAAGTATCAAAAAAGCTCCTAATAGTAAAAATAGTTGGTGGTTGAATCAAAATGTGCAAGAGAACACAAATAAAAAATTTTATTATAAAAATTAATTTAGATGTAAATACTCCAAATATTAAGAAAAATATAAAGAGGCCCGTAAAGAGTATAAGAAAATAATATGATGCAAAAAATTTATTAATGATATATATAATAAATTAGATACTAAGAAGGGCGAAAGATATATGAATAAGTTAGCCATGCAAAGAAATAGGAGAAAAAAAGATTTAGTTCAAGTGAAGTGCATTAAGGATGAATATCAAAAAGTGTTTTTATTAGAATGGAATATTCAACAAACGTGGATGAGATGTTTTGATAAGTTTTTCAATAAAGATTGTGAGAATATGATTGATTTTAGTGACATTAGCATCATAAATGAAAATAAAGTTTTTTATTTTGTTCGACGTATTAGTAAAATCGAAGTTAGAGAGACTTTAAAGAAAATGAAGTGAAAAAGCTATTGAACCTTATAATATTCCAATAGAGATATAGATATGCTTAGGAAAAAAAAGAATTTATTGGTTTATAAAAATTTTCAATACTATTTTGAAGACAAAAGATATCAAATAAGTGGAGTGTGTTGATTCCTATTTTTAACAATAAAGGTGATGCACAATAGTGATCAGATTATAGAGGAATTAAGTTAATGTGCCATCCTTTAAAACTATGAGAGAGAGTTATTGAGGATAGGTTACGATGTGATACTAATGTTTCTCAAAATCAATTTCGATTCGAGCCGAGTATGTCTACTATAGAAGCTATACATTTATTGAAAGGTTTTATGGAGAAGTATAGAGAGAATAAGGAGGATCTACATATGATATTTATTGATTTAGAGAAAGCTCATGATAAAGTTTCAAGAGGAGTGCTATAGAGAGTTTCAGAAAAAAAAAGGGGTTAATAATGCTTATACTCAAGTCATTAAGAATATATATGCAGGAGCTATTATTTGTATTCAAACATAAGGTAGTTTGACAAAGTATTTTCCTCTTTCAGTTGGATTATACCAAGAATCAGCTTTAAGCCCGCTTTATTCATGGATGTTCTTACAAGATATTTGCTAGAGAATGTACCCTACTTTCTACTTTGTTGATGATATTTTTCTTGTTGATAAGATTAGAGAGAGTTAAAGGTATACTTGAATTATGGAGGTCAATCTTAGAGTCTAAAGGTTTTTGTTTGAGTAGAGCTAAAACTGAATAAATAGAGTATAATTTTAGTTGTAATAAATCTAGTGGGCGGATTGTGACTTTGGGCAATCAAGTCATTAATATGAATACACGCTTTAGATATCTCGGGTCTATTGTTCAATGATGGTGAAATAGATGGGGATATTATTAGTAGAATTTAAATTGGATGGTTGAAGTGGATGAATGCATTGGGCTTGTTGTGTGACAGAAAGCCCCCCCTCAAACTTAAGAAGAAATTCTATAAGATGGCGGTGAGACCAACAATACTTTATGGTGCAGAATGTTGACTATTAAAAGAGAAGCATGATATTAAATGTTGTAGAGATGAGGATGCTCAGATGATTGAATGGCTTTGCTTTAGAGACATAATGTGAAACAAGCATATACATGAAAAAGTAGTAGTTGTAGTAGCAGATAAGATTAGAGAGAGTCGCCTTAGATGGTTTGATCACATAAAACGTTAGCCTTTCAATGAACTGGTTACGATAGTAGATGTATTAGATTTGGCCTATGTTAAGAAAGGTGAAGGTAGACCTACAAAGACTTGGTTAGAAAATATTAGAAATGATCTTTTTTTTTATTAAATTTAAATGATAATTTGACTCTTAACATGACACAATGGAGAAAAAGGATTCATGTAGCCGACCCCACAGTGGGATAAAAGCTTGATGTTGTTGTTTTTTTATTCATGTTCTAGAAATTTTATCCTAATTACTTGCATAAGTACGTAGCCAGAACAGAAAAAGGGGTATACCTTCACTGGATTGTCTCCATAGTTTAAAACTCCAAGAGATGCAGCTTCACGAGGGAGTCCCTCATTAACATACTTGTCCACCAATGGATCTCCAGTCGAACTCTAAAAGAAGAAATATAACAAAACTCCCTTCAGCCAAAAACATCATTATGAAGAACGTGGCTACTAAATGACATTTAAATAAAAATAATAACACGCAGAATGAAGTGTTTTTGGGACACAGCTACGTGAAAAGCACAGCAGGGAAGACATGGAGACAGTATGCAATAAAAAAGTAAATAGTTTCGGTTTAAAATCCACAAGATCTGAGGTGAACTTATGAATAAAAAGGGAAGAAACCAAATCAATTTAGTTAAAATGTAAAATTATAAATTTCTAGGTCAAAAGTGAAATGCCAAATCTCTTAATCAATAAAACTGCTGCTAGACTTTTTTTTTTTTTTTTGAAGTAAATTCTTCACCTGTAACCAGTTATGGATGAAGCAGCTAGCTGTCATGACTAAAGCAAAGGTCCCAAACTAAGAGCCAAAGACGGAAAGCAAATTAATTAAAATTCCTAGAAAAAGAACCAGTAAAATAAGTGACAAAGCAAGTTGCAAGCATTATCAATGTCGACTTCACGAGTCCCTCAAAATTTAGCTTCAGCACCACTGGCACTACGGTTTTTTATTTCTGTGCTTTCCGGACCACTAAGAAGCGTACTTACACTGACTTAGCATCTAAAAGCATGCGGATTTTCTGCAGACACGAGCTCTGCCTTGGTAACCAAGACTCGCTCTACTAATTTGATAACCTTAAACAGCATATAAATACCCATGAACTCTTCCATTAAATTATGGGGCAAAACTCCCAAGGTTAATAAGGGAAAATCTTTCACATTTGTAATATAAAATAGAATGCAGAATCCATGCCATGAAAAGCTACATGGTACAGTTCTTTCCTCAGCTTTGGAACGCTGAAGGTTATAATAGTAGAAAGAGAGAGTAGCTTGTGGAATTGAATTATGAGACGAGGGTGAGAGAAAGGCAAGTAGGCTGGGATCTAGGAGCCAAGACAATGTAAAAACAGGGCCAGAAAAGTATAATTAGTGAGCGAGAGCCAGAAGCTACACAAAGATTTCAAAATCTAGAATTACAGATCCGGCTTCCAGAATTTCTAATTCAAATAAAAAGGTCTAGAACTCAAAATCCAAGTGCAGTATTCCATTAAAAATTTGAAATATTTACAGGGTTATAATAGTAGACAGAGAGTGTAGCTTGGGGAATTGAATTATGAAACGAGGGTGACAGAAAGGCAAGTAGAGAGGGGCCTAGAGGCCATGAAAATGTAAAAAACAGAACCAGAAAAGTATAATCAATGAGCGAGAACCAGAAGCCTAGACAAAGATTCCAAAATCTAGAATTAATGTTCGGCTTCCAGAATTTCTAATTCAAATAAATAGTTCTAGAACTCAATATTCAAGTACAGTATTCCATTCAAAAATTTGAGAAATCTACAAGAACTGGAAATCAGCAAAAACTGGACCGATGAAAAAAAATTGAGCAAATTCAGTATCAAAGTCGCACTGACAATTTTAGAACTGAAGCAAATCAAAAGAGTAAGGCTGATCATCCAAGTTTGTTTTAACCGATTTCCAAAACCCCAACATAAACATGCTATTTTGTAACCCAAAGCCAAACTCATGCACGTAAAAGAACTAATTCAAAACATTAAAATACAATCTAACTTCTTAAAACTCAGATGGAAAATTCTCTAGCAAAAAGGACTTTTGAAGGCCTCCTTGGCTTGGGATCCTTCTTTTACTAAAGAACCTGGAGTAAGTTTTAGCGCTAATCCACACTGAAACTGAGTAAGAGTACATAACCTATTAGCAACCACCCATATGGATATTCCCTTCGTTGCTATTGATTAACATCTAAAGAATTGGTTTAAGAATTATACGCCAACATGGCAACATCACTCAAATGTTCAATCCATCAATAACAGGCAACAATCTTGAAAACTAATCGCCAGCAAAAGTGGATGCAATCACGCATAAACCACGTTTACATAATATATTGTAGGAAGAAAAAACATACACAGTAGATTGCTAAACATCCATTCAAAACAATGGAGATAAAAGTTCAGTGAAAAAAAAAAAAGAAAAAAAGAAAACCACGCATATACAAGTAGGAAAATCATAGCATCATCATCAAACTGCTTTGTAGTGCACATAAGCATATCAAACCATAGAAGTAGAAGGTGCAGCTTTCGATGGCTGACTTTCTGATGCAATTTTGATCCAGTTCTGGTTCCCTTTCTCAGCTTCAGCAAGAATTCTTCTCTCAAAATCAAAATCAAATTGGAAAGTACAACGAGGGACCTCTGCCAGTTGTGGTGCCAATTGAGGCTGGAAAGAATCTAATGATTAGGGGAGAAAAACTATTCACTTTCAACAAAAATGATACAACTACAACTACTTTGAAATATGAAACAAGGGACCTATGCTATTAGTGGTTCCAATTAATACTGAAAAGCAGCTAAAAATCGGGAAGACAATCATTCACTTGCAACAACAATGTTACAACTACAATTGCATTTTACTTTTTAATCAGTGTGGAGCAATAATAAAACTTAGGTTTTGTTTGGGAAGGATTTCTTACTGTTTCTTAAAGCATCTTTTTAGCACAGAAATTTTAATTTTTATAATAGAAAACTGCTTTAAAAAGCATAAAGAAAGCTGTCCCAAACGAAGCCTTAATGGTCATACTGAAAGCAATAATTAATCTCTAATTTGCTTTAAACCTGTAATAGAAAGTTATGACAATTATTCAATTTACTCATAAATTAGTTAATTATCCATACTTATTTGTCAAAATTAAACGTTAAAAAACCTACTTATCTTAACTATAAGTCATCCCAATCAGTCTATTAATCAAAACAATTACTTAGGCATGCTTCCAAAACATGTGAAAACGCTCATATAGGCGTTTTCACAATTTCAAAATACATTCCCTTCCAAAAAACAAGAAAGGGAAACGTGGTTGTTAAAGAGTTTTTTTTTTTTCACACCTAAGTGCCTGTTTTAGGAAACTAATAACAAAAACAAGAACTGAAAGTGAATCCAAATAAGTCCTTGAAGGAAGGAGCCAACGAACGTGCATGTCAGACTTTTCATTTGAAATATGACCATGACGTTGGTTTTAAAATGTCACGCCAAATGTATCATTTTGGGGCATCACTAAGTTTAGACTGTTCGTTTTTTTTTCCTTAGGTTTGTTATGAAACAAAGTAAACATAAAATTTATAAATTTTAACTCCTATCTATTTTTATATAGTAAATCAAAATTAAGGGTACTGTTTTATATTTTGTCGTTGGAGTCAAACTCTAAAACTAATTACTACGGAAAAGAAAAAAATATTTTTCTTTCCTAAAGGCCTGAAACATCTATTTCTTTCTCAAGACAACACTATTATATCATTTTAAAACAAGGCTTATGTATTCTCAGTCTTATACTGTATTGATCATAATTTTTATTGTTATATCTGCTAAGTCTTAATAACTATATTCACTTCAAGTAAAGAAATTAGCTCAGTTTGCTTTTTAACATACTGCGATCTTTAGGATTATTTATGTTGAAGCCATCACAAGAATAAGGCCTAATCTAATTAAGTAAATCATTAATTTTTTAAAATGATTAACTATCTAAATAGAAATTTCGGAGACAATTTTGATTTCAATGAAGACAATTAAGATTTTAGAATTTATTTATGACAATTTGGTCAAACTCCATCTTACATGAATTCATTTCACTCTCACCTTGGACTTGACGCTCTTGATCTCTTCCACTCCAGCTCAAGAGCATCCACACTCTCTCAAATCCACCTCATCAGTCAACTTGACCAGTTGACTAGTTAAATGGTCAATTAAAGCCTTAGGAGAGTTCAAAATGACCAAGTTACGTTGCGATTTGTATCTCCCTGCATTCTAGGTTGTTTAAATACTTCATTATAATCCTAAAAGCTCTCTAATTGTGCCTCAACCTGAGCTCAAGCTGTGGCTTAGCTCAAGAAGGAAAGGAGTGATCCCCATCCCACATGAGGCCACCAATGGCCAAAAAGCTTGGCCAGCCTTTGGCCCTGCTCCCAAACTGTTTGGGACACTTGTCCATGATCCAAGGGAGGGCCCTAATGCATCAGGGCCGTCCAATTCAAACCCAAGACCTAAAGTATGCCAAAGGGTCTCATTCCATTCATTCACTCAATACTCAGCCCCCAAAGCCCCTTTAACCAGAAACTCTTTTCGTTTTGACTCCACATTCCCTTTTCACTTCCCTAGTTCAACCCCACCGGTGAGAGGCCGCCGGCAATGAACTTCCGGCCATCTCATCCTCGAAGTCCGTCCAAGGCCTAAAGCTCGAGATCCAGACCATTTCAACCGTAGATTTCTTCTAGTGGATTGTACGTGGATAGTCTTCAAGCTCAACAAGTTATAGAACGTCCAAAATGATCGATTAAATTGCGGTAAATCCTTAAACCTAGATCAAATCACTTAGGTTTAAATAGCTTTTCAAAAAACTGATTTTAAGCCAAACAAACGATCCCCGATCAATGCTCTTCACACCCCCAGGCTCAGTTTAAAATTTCACTAAGTTTGACCGAGTGGTTTGAGAGAAAAAGCCATTTTTTCTAATCCTAGGATTAATTACATAACGCATGCACCGGTATGTTTTTTGGGTCATTGATAGCGCGATCAACAACCCTGATATCATCGTTCCTTCGTCTGATCAAATTGCGGGTCTGATCCGGCGGACTCGATGCTCGTTCGGTTGGATCATGATCGTTCGTACATACCGCGTGCGGATGAACGACGATGATCCTATGCTAACTCGAAAAAGTGGACCGCGCCGTCCCGCCACCGCATCTCCATTGATTACCAATGATTGTCGACGGCACAATCATTGGTAATCAATGCGCTACCGCGCAATCATTGCTCGCGGTTTGATCCTGCTCATGTTGCACCAATACATCTATTTATGAATGTGTGTTGTATCTGATATATCGATACATGGATAAGCCTCCGGTACGGCACCGATACGTGTCAGATACGCCAAAGCCTTATTGATGAGGACATCAGCCAGAGATTTCGACATGTGTACCATCGACGAAATCGTAGATCGACGGCTACGATTTGAAGCCTTTACTTTTGATTTATTTTATATTTTGTTTATTTTGCATTTCAGTTTTCTTATTTTACCCTTATGGGTAGTGAATTCTTATTGTAGCCCCGAGGGCATTTTAGCCTTTCTTCTTTTCTTTATTATTAAGGCCAATATAAGAAGTCTTTTCTTTGTATGAGGTTAATGATGAATTAATAAATTTTTTGGATTTTGAGTTCTTGTTTGTGAGCTCTTAAGAGGAGGGGTGGAGCCTTGGAGAGGCTCAAATGAAATACCCAATAGCCCCTTCAGGTGAGCTCTTGGTTTCTCTAATTTTCTTCTTTCTTTTCCTTTCTCCCTTACCTGCCACCACCCCTAGCCACCCCTCCTTGCCGCCGACCAATCCCTTCACCATCTTTCATCCTTCCCCAACTCGCCATCTCTCCTCCACATCCCCAAACCACAGGCAACCCCATCCTGCCACCCCAACTACCGTATTCCAACCCCAACAACCACCGCCCTCCTTTGGCTCCCTAGCCGCCAACCTCCCTCCACCTAGCTTTACTATTTGAATTTCAAATTTCACATAAGCCTTCATTACCTTCCTAAAATATCACTTTGTCAATTAGGAAAGTTCATTTATTTGAATTCAATTAAATATTTGAATTTCAAACCTCTCCTATTGATAAATCTCAATTTAGGAAGCCTCCCTAATCTAATTAAATCTGAAATTAAATTTCAGATTTGATTTCCACCCATAATAAACACTTTGGGCCCACATACATTGAACATAGACATATTTCTTCCCCTCCATTAACCGTTCGATTGAATTGACGTGTCCCATATCCATATCATGTAGTATCCGTGTTGCCGCATCCGTATCTGTGCAACATAGGTTTCTGCAAACCAGAAGGCACCGCGTTGCCCCCCGCCGCCGCCGCCGGTTTTAATTTAATTACTGCAATGCGCTACAAGATTCTTCTTAAGATTTACTAGTCCTTGTTTAAAACATTTGCATGCAAATTTAAATATGATAAAGGTAACTTTTTTTTTTCTTGCAGGAATTCAATCCTACAACTTTACTTTGGGTAAGGAACCATACCATTGGGCTGCTAAAAAATTTAGTTAGCTATATAGAACATGCTTTTCAATTCAGTACCCTTTAATCTATGTTTGAGATCATTCATTCTCATATAAAATACAAGCTATGGCAAATCGTGCTGACAGTAAAATAGGAAATGATGAGGCAATTTTTAGTTTGGTCATATGACATCACAACTATCGATTTAATAAATTTATATCATTTTTATTTAATTTCAGACATCTAGACTCTACACACATTGTCAATTGTTGAATTATATATTTTAGGGGATTTATATATCCAATGCCGAAATCTTTTTATTTATTTGTATAACACTCGAATATTTAAATCACATCAAAATTATAACTAATATTAACTTGTTTAAATTTGAAATACACATTTTTATGCATACGCATTGTTGTGATTTAAATAGTAAAGAACGGATATGAATAAAAAGATCACGTTTTTTAAATAAAGATGAAGAAGTTAGATATATATAAATACATAAAATTTTGTGATATGTATGTAAATCCTACTATATTTTATTTCAAATATCCTGTGAAATGATAGTAATCATATTACTTTTAGATATATTTTATAATTTTCAGTTGGCCCAGCATGGACAAAGATGACCTAAAATTGAACACGAGATCAAACGATCCAATCACTCAAAACCCTCAGTTTCTAGGCAGGATTTTAAAGCTATGATTTTAAAGAGGTTGGATAGACTGAAGATAAAAACCCAAGATATATGGTTAATAGTTGCTAAGTGCTTTCCATGTCCAATAATCTTCTTATCAAGAATAACTTGCAATTATTTAAAAAAAAAAAACTTACAGGTGGATTCATTCGATACTCTGGCTTCAGTACAACTTTAATACCTAATCCTGCTGCAAAAAGATGAAAAATCTTAATGTTCTGGAGGAAAACATTTACGTGTAAGAAATTCAATGCCAAAAAAATATAAAGGATAAAAACAATAATTGGAATTGAAGTCGAAGTCGAAGCCTTTAACACATTAATTGATAGAGAACCATAACTACTATTCGAATCAAACCCAAATCAGACCTTAATATGATCGATAAGAATATTAGAAAAATTGCAGGCTGGATAAAACAAGTCAGAGGATTTGACCAACAAACAAGTTCAGGTTAGCCTGTAAATTGGGTTTAAGTTCAAAATAGGGCTAGTCAGGTAAATATATTAATGTAAATCTAATATCTAAGGCTGAGTAGAGCCATATAGTTTCCATGTATCCAGCCAACATGTAAATATCAAATCCGGAGAATTTATAATAGTCCTGGTAAAAGAAAGAGTCCAACTTATTGAGTTGCATGGGTCACTGGGTCCCTAGGCTTTTGCCAATATCTAGTAATAGAAGAGTCAAAACTCACATATTGATTAATTTCCATGCTATTATAAATAAGAAAAATATATAAAGAAATTCTATTTATCAAAATACAAAGAAAGATACATTTATCAAAATACAAAAGTAAAGACATGGTGGAATGGATTGAAAAATCGAAAAAACACATAGAAAGATACATATATCAAAAAACAAAAGTACCTAGATTAACAGGAATATTGAAGGAAGGGAAACCACAATAGGCATAAAGAAAATCTTTTTAATTTATGAAATCCTACAGCCATCATACTAAATTGAAATACTAGTCTTTATCTTCTCAAACTACCTACAATGTATGTTGTTTGGCAAAGTTTGTTACAAGGTAAATGCTATCTACAAAAGTATGCTTTTGTACCATGACAAAAGAAAAGAGTAATGAAATAAAAATTCGAAAAGAAAAGCTTTAAAAGCTTGGAGGAAATCGTCCAACATAAATAAAGAAGAAAAAAAGGAAAAATAATATCAACTTTGATCAACAAGAAATGAAAAATACAAATCAATAAAATAGAAATGAAGTGAACACAAATTGTGCCAATTTTAGGTATCTTGGATCTATTGCTTTTAATAGGAGAAAGATAGAGAGAGACAACATCATGGAAGCCTATTAGAAGGCCTGAATCTAAATACTCACAATAAAGATATGCACGGGAAAACAAACAGTGGTACATGTAATTCTCAAGACTAAAAAGTAAATCAAAGAAGGGTAAGGAGCGAAAAATACATTTCAAGAATGTTTTAGAAACTAACTTCTAGTTAGAGATTAACATTAAGCCCAATACCATTTATATCGATTATGGAATACAGTTTATAGAATTAGTTTCAGTTTCAATCTGATTGCCAAAGTTTTAGTTTTTGTGATTTCAATAGTTTCAAATATTTTAATAATCTTAAAAAACTATTTGAATATAATTTTGATAAATTTAAAACCAAAAATAAATTATTTTTTTATGAGTTTCGATGATCTTAGTCAGGGTTCAATTGAGTTCCTCTGAATTCCATGATTTCAATTATTTCAGTTATTTTGGATGCTTCAGCCTAGTTTCAAACAAAAACTAATTGAATTTGACCGAAATAACAAAAAAAAAAGAAACAACAAAAAAGCAACCAAACGTAATAGGTTTTAATCAAAACCATTGGAGACCAATGAAATGTATCAATTGTGGCCAAAACTAAAAAAGCATGTCATGAAATGATTCAAAATAAACTATCTAATGGTGTGTTATTTCCAATTAAGGTGAGTTTTTTTTTTAAGACGAACACCGAAGAAAAATTTTAGAATTTAGTATCAATCCATACTAATAATTTATTGTTATTAATTTCATGTGCACTAAATTACAATATTATATCCTCAAAAAAATCAAAAGATTGCTAAAAATATAGCATGTAGGGATAAAATTGGGCGATCAAAATAAAGGAGTGGCTCATAAAGCATGTAATAGAGAACATAACATTGAGAGGTAAGGCCAAATTTTTAAATGGCGTCAACATCAAGAATAAATTTTAAAGAGCATAAATGTGTTTAATTTCATAACAAGAATGTCTTGTATGAAAATGTTAATTGCAGAAAAAATGCACTCTAATAGAGTATTTTTGCCCTTTTTTTTAATTTCTTTTAGCTCTTCACCAGATTCAGGCAAATATAAATTAAGATATCTATCCAAATATGATGCAACCTCTGATACAAAAGTATTAGCCTCAATGAACGAACTTTAAATGAAATTGATATATGTTAAAAGATATAATAAAAAAAGATTTATTCTTTTTACTAGCATACCATTAAAACATCCACATTTATTAAATTACATGGACTAAAACAGTTAACTTTTATTTAAAAAAAAAACACACACTCCGACAAAAAAGTTTTTCTATTAGTAGAAACATTAAATATTCTCAAATATTTATAAGTAATTAGATAAATGGACTCAAACTTAATTTTATTTTTTATTAGCATTTGATATAAAAAAATATTAAATAAATATTGAGTAAAAATAATTAAAAAATTAACTCTCTAATCTATACAAATTATAAATAATGTTGTGTGAATTGTTATAACTTTAAAAAAAATTATGAATATGTTTACTATTATTAGTAAAAAATAATGTTAAGTTTTGTTTTATTTAAAGATTAATTGATTTAATTAATTCATATATAGTTAAATATTTTTAACGAGTGTTATATTAAAATGGCTTAAATGTTTAAATCTATGTAATTTAACAAATGTGGAAGCTCTAATAGTATTCTAGTAAAAAACAAACCTTCCTTTTTTAAAATCTTTTAGTAGATATCATTTTCATTTAAAGTTCCTTCATTAATGCTAATACTTTGCTGTCAGAGCTTACGTCATCTTCAAATCGTTGTCTTAAAGTTTATTTGCCTGAATTTGATGAAAAGTTGTAAGAAATAAAAATAATAATAATACAGGGCAAAAATGCCTCTTCTTACATAATTATTAGGGGGGGCATTTTTAACTCGCCTATGTAAAAACGCCCTTTAACAGGGCATTTTTGCTTGAATTAAAATTTTTAAGCTGGCATCTCCTATTATGAAAAATGACATATAATAGGCTCCTTAAAATTTTGTACAAATTCAATTATGTTGTTAGGATATAAAAGATCAACTATATTGGTTGAATAACAAAGAACCCAAAAAAAATGAGAGACTAGCAAAAACAAGAATCATAAAATCAATGCATGGTAAAGCTTTATAACAATAACAACATCAGGCCATTATTCAACTATGCAGCTCCATGAATCTTTTTTCTTCCTGGTAAGAGTTAAATTCTCAGTTAAATCTAATAAAGAGATGTCATTTCTAATATTTTCTAACCAAGTCTTTTTAGGCTTATCCTACCTTTCTTAACATAAGCCAAATCTAGTACATCTACTCTCCTAATCAGGTCATCCGAAGGCCGCCGTTTTACGTGCCAAAACCAACTAAGGTGACTCTCTAATCTTATCTTCCACTAGAGCTATTCCAACATTTTCACGTATGTGCTCATTTTGCATCCTGTTTTTAAGAGGAAAGTCACTCAACCACCTAAGCATCATTATCTTGATAGGAAATTTCCTATTCACTTTTACCACAACTCTCAAGACAAACTGCTGTCCACAGCAGGAAAACAGCCCAAAACTGAAGAAAAACTGCAGGAAACTTAGAGAAAAGACTTGTATTTTACTAGTAGATGCAAGGAAAATAGCAAAGATACAAGGATCCTCTATTCAAGAGGAGGATCACACTCTCCCATTCTCTAGAATTCGATCTAGAGCCCTAAACACACAAGAAGAACCAGAAAAACTCTTACAAAAATATCACATACCCTAATATCTCCTTTTTCTCCCTACTTAATGCATACCATTAAAAATAAACATAAAAGGACCTAATTGCTCTTGCTCCCACACCTTTTGGCTCCAAGATACAAATTCAAAAACAAGTGGACCCCACCCCTAATTCTCCTCAATCTTCCGCTGGCTTCCCCTCTGTTTCTGCCCGTTCCCGTCGCCTGTAGACGAACCGAGCCGGCCCAATGGATTGGGCCGGCTGGACCGGTCCAAAGAGGACCGGTCTAACATTACCGCCCTCCCAAAGAACCACCTTGTCCTCAAGGTGGAAGTCAGGAAACTGTCGCTTCATCCGCTCGTATGGCTCCCACATGGCCTCGTAGTCAGGGAGGTTCTTCCATTTGATCAGGACTTCTATGGCTCCATCTGCTTTCTGACAAACCTCCATGAGCTCCAAAGGTTCTAGTATCATCTCCATCTCTTCAGTTAATGTCCCTGGTAACTCTGTACTGGTAGCATAATCCCCAATGGCCCTCCTCAGCTGGGACACATGGAAAACGGATGGATCGTCGCCATAGGTTGTAGCTGCAAACGATATGCCAATGCTCCAATTTTCGCCAACACTTCATAAGGACCAAAGTGCCGTGGAGCAAGCTTCTCATTTCTCCGGTTGGCGACCGTTTTCTGTCGATATGGGCGGAGTTTCAAAAATACCTTCTCGCCCACCTCAAACTGAATATCCTTCCGATGCCCATCAGCTTGTTTCTTCATAATCTGTTGAGCCCTCAACAGATGTCTTTTTAACTCTTCCAGTGTCTTATCCCTCTCCTCCAAATACTCCTCTACTGAAGACACGGGTGTGCTGCTACTCCCAAAATACACCAAGTGGGGCGGATCCCTTCCGTACAACACCTTAAATGGAGTCATCTGAGAGACTGAATGAAAAGAGGTGTTGTAGCAGTACTCGGCCCATGATAACCATTTAGCCCATAGCTTGGGTGTTTCTGATGCGAAGCATCTCAGATAAGTTTCCAAGCACCTATTGACTACTTCTGTTTGGCCATCCGTCTGTGGGTGGTAAGCCGTACTCCTCTTCAGCACCATCCCCTACAGTCTGAACAATTCTTTCCAGAAATGGCTGAGGAACACTTTATCTCTGTCTAATACTATCGCCTCTGGCACTCCGTATAGTCTGACTATCTCCCTG